TGTCTGTTCATGTCCATGGCCTATTTGTTGATTAGGTTACTTGTTTTTTTCAGTGTTTAGCTTTTTGAATTCTTTATATACCTTGGAGATTAGTGCTCTATCTGATGTGTGAGGGGTAAAAATTTTCTCCCAAGACATAGGCACTCTGTTCACCTCACAGATTATTTCTTTTGCTGAGAACAAACTTTTTGGTTTTATTTCATCCCATTTATTGATTCTTGGTTTTAATTCTTGTGCTACAGGAGTCTTATTAAGGAAGTTGGGGCCTCATCCCACATGATGAAGATTAGGGCCTACAAGAAAAATCAATTTCTTTATTCTTCCTTTTTTTCTCCCTTTGTTTTTTTCCTTGTAAACAGATATTTGTGTGAAACCTTGACTAAATAAGCATTTACAAATAAGGGTAAGAGCACATTGAAGAAGATTCTTTTTGGCTCTTCTGATACTTGACACAATTTGGCTAATTATTGGTGTATACATACAAAGTGGACCAGTGGCTATTCTGCCATATCCTGTATATGGAAAGAGCAGTTGAAATACAATTCAGATATTGCAATAGGTTCTTTGGACAGTGGCTGGGCCATATTGTCAACATTATAGCACACAAAAGGAGGTCTTTCAAAACAATTATTCTTCTCTGGACACCAGAAGCACTCTGATTTAGTTGTTTCAACATGCAACTTAAGCATTGAAATTTTACCTTTCTAAGGTCATCAAATGCACTACAATGCTGGAGAATCACTGGCCACAGTTAACTGCTTTAGTTGAATGTAGGGAGCATGGATGAACCTGAAGCACAGATCCTGCTACTGATAGAAGAATAATGTCTAGATTATTAAAGATGGATCCATTGGAAATTTTTCTTTTCCTAATATATAGTTGTAGACAAAAATACAGTGAATGGTTAAACAAACTGTGATACATTCATATCATGGAATGAAAAGCAATCAAGTGTTGGTACACACAACAACTCATGAAATTACCAAAGTTTTAGATGGATTGAAAAAAGTACTTAAATGTTATGCACTATATCCTTTATAAAACTTTTTTGAAACGATAGAATAAGAGAAATGGACAGGTGCTCTGCCAAGTGTTACAGGCAGGAGAAGGCCTGAGGGAGTAAATAGGGTGGACCATGAGGATTCTTGTGCTGTGGAAATGGAATTCTGTCTTGATTCTAATTTGCATCATTGTCCATATTCTATTTGTGATATATACCATTCTTTTCCAAGGTGTCACTATTGGGAGAGCCTATTCAGGGAACCCTAGGGGTTCCTTGCATGTTTTCTGACTTCATATTTGTGCAAGTACATTATCCCCAAATTTACAAGCTATTTCAAAAATTTTCTCAAATCTCTAAGATTTATAAGAATTTTATGTGAAGTGTTTGCTACTGTCAATCACATATAAAGGTAAGAATATGTAAATAATAGGAGGGGGTTGGATATATATCAGTTGCAAAATAAAAGTGTGTAAGATTTGCTCCTAAAAAAAACTAATTCAAATTTTTCTGTAGTATGCCTAAAACTCTCTTGAGAAACTAATAAATGAAAGCTTAATTTATTTTGTATATAAAATGCACTGATATTGTCATTTTCAATGATGAAGGATTAAGAGCAAACCAAAAGTGCCCACCTAATCATTTGTATTCAACCTGGTATGCTAAGTCTTAACTAGAGCAATGAAGACAGAAGAAAAAGATATGAAAATTGGAATCGAGGTATAAAATATTCTCTGCCTACAGATAATATGATCTTATCTGTAAAAGAACCTGAAAATTGGACATCAACTCTGGCACTCATAAAAACTTTCAATAAAGAGGATAGAAAATACAAAATTTTACTGCCAGTGAACAGCAAAGCCAAAATTGGAATGACTGTTGTATTTTCAATACTGTCTGAAATAATTACAAATTTTGTAATATACTTAAGGAGGAACATAGAAAGCATTGCAGGAATAGATTTAAAAGAACTATTAGTGAAAACAACTGTCATCATATTCATGGAGTTTCCTGGGTTATCAGAAGACTTAATATTGTTTAGTTGTCAGAACTATCCAGAAAGGTATACAGAATCAATCCCATCCCTATCAAAATCCTTATGTCTTTTTATACAATGTGGTTTTGACAGAAAAACTCTTTCTGATGTTAGTATGGAAATATGAGGGCTCCCAAACAGTCTGAACACTCATGAAAAGGAAGAACCAGGCTGGAGAGCTCAAGTTTTTGATTTCAAAACCTTCTACAAAGCTCTGTAGCACAAAAATGTCATTTACAATATGTCCTTGACAGAGTGGTGACTCATCTTTTAAGGGACAAGAGCTTCTTAAGATCTAAGTAGAAACAGTAGATATAAGAAGCTTGGTGGAACCAGGAGGGAAAAATGGCCTGAAGCCAAGCATAGGTGCATAGACACAAGTGGGTAAGCAATGGCAGCAACAGTGCCAAGGTACAGTGTGAGAGACCCAGAGCAGGRGAGGCCAGATCCAGGATGCCCATCCTGTTTGTTTCTTCACCTGCCAGTCATCTGGCTGCTACTGAGTCAGCTGCTCAGAGAAAACTTCACCTAATGGATGAATTCCAAGATACCATCATGATCATTGCATAGAGAACCTGTGAGGAGAATCTCCAAAGTTCAGGAAAGCCAGCCAAGAACCTCTGGGACACTCAGAAATGAGAGGTCCTGGTGGCTGTCTGGCTGCACTGCCCATTGACTGCCCTCAGAGTACTGACCCATCAGAATGGTCGCCTGAAACAAGGCAATTTCTTACTGGCTGCATTTGCTGAGACAACTTCCTGGTGTAGCTGATACCCAACATTTGAGCTTTTGTATTTCAACTTGACTGTATTCAAATGGTTTCACTGGGAATCTCACCAGTAGGAAGGAAAGATGTGGGAACAAAAGTGCTCAGTGCCCTCACCTGGCACCCAGAWAGTCAGAGTGAGTATAGGAGGAAGCCATTGAGGCAGAAGTATCAGGGGAAGTTTGACATTAGGTGGAGCTCATTTCCAAACCACAAAGGAAGACAGGGCAGGTCAAATACTTGACCAACTGGAGACTGGGCACCTGGAAGAACTATCTTCAGTTGAGACAAAAATTTAGTAACTATTTTTTAATGTACTACCTCCCATAAGTGACATGGGAGGTAGTATATTAAAGGAAAAACTAACCAAAGAGGAAAATCAAGTCAAGTTAAATAACAAAAATAAACAAATATATCTGGAAATACAAACCATGTCTCAATAGTAACCCTAAATGTTAATGGCTTAAACTCACCAATCAAAAGACATAGGCTAGAAGATTGGATTTTTTAAAAAGTCCCAACAATGTGCTGCCTCCAGGAGACTCATCTGAAAGGAAAAGACATACATAGTCTGAAGGTGAAAGGTTGGAAAAAATCATACCACTGACATCGACTGTGGAAGCAAGCAGGTTTTTCCATCCTCATATCAAATAAAGTAGACTTGCGTACTGCCCAAGGGAACCATACACCAACAAGACATAACAATCATAAATATGTATGCCCCAAACAATGGTGTGGCTATGTTCATCAAACAAATTCTTCTAAAGTTCAAGAGTCAAATTGACCACAACACAATAATCTTGGGTGACTTTAAGACACCTCTCTCACCACTGGATAGATCTTCCAAAGAAAAGTTGAATAAATAAACTAAAGAACTCAATAACACAATCAATAACTTAGACTTAACTGACATATATAGAATATTTCAACCTGCATCAAGTGGATACACTTTCTTCTCAGCAGTACATGGATCCTTCTCTAAAATGGACCATATACTATGCCACAAAGCAACTCTTAGCAAATACAAAAAAGTAGAGATACTACCATGCATATTATCAGATCATAATGGAATAAAATTGGAAATCAATGAAGAAATAAAAAATAAAAAATTCTCCACCACCTAGAGACTAAATAATATGCTACTGAATGAACAATGGGTTACAGAAGACATCAAGGAGGAGATTAAAAAATACTTAGAGGTAAATGGGAACATAGACACAACATATTGAAATCTCTGGGACACTATGACATCAGAACTTAGAGGAAAATTCATTGCATGGAGTTCATTCCTTAAAAGAAGAAAAAGTCAACAAATAAATGACCTCACACTACATCTCAAAGTCCTAGAAAAAGAAGAACAAATAAGCAGCAAAAGCAGCAGAAGACAAGAAATAATTAAAATTAGAGCTGAAATCAATGAAATCAAAAGAAAAGAAACAATTGAAAAAAATTGACAAAACAAAAAGTTGGTTCTTTGAAAAAATAAATAAAATTGACAGACCCTTAGCCATGCTAATGAAGAGAAGAAGAGAGAGAACTCAAATTACCAGCATATGTGATGAAGAAGATAATATGTCTCAATAATAACCCTAAATGTTAATGGCTTAAACTCACCAATCAAAGGACATAGGTTAACATATTGGATTAAAAAGACCCAAGAATATGCTTACAATATCCAACAATACCCAACTAGCAGGATATACAGAAATGCAACTGACACTACAGAAATACAGAGGATAATTAGAAATTATTTTGAAATTTTATACTCCAATAAAATAGAAAACATTAAGTCATATGATTTGCCCAGATTGAGTCAGGAAATTTAAACAGACCAATATCAAGTGAGGAAATAGAAGATGCCATCAGAAGCCTATCAACCAAGAAAAGACCAGGACTGGATGGATACACAGCCAAGTTCTACAAGACCTTTAAAGAAGAACTAATACCAATACTCTTCCATTTATTTCAGGAAATAGAAAAAAAGGCCTCATACTATGAAGCCAATGTCATCCTGATCCCAAAACCAGGCAAAGACACATCAAAGGGAGAAAACTTCAGACCAATATCTCTAATGAACATAGATGCAAAAATTCTCAATAAAATTCTGGAAAATCGAATACAAAAATATATCCAAAAGCCCCAGTGATGCTTCCTCTTCGTCCCTATGGGCCCACAATAGATGATGGGCACGGGGGGGGGGGGAGATGCAGGCTTACCAATACTGGCCTTTCTCCTCCTCAGATCTATACAACTGGAAAAATAACAATCCCCCTTTTTCTGAGGACCCCAYCCGACTTACAGGTTTAGTCGAGTCGCTGATGTTTTCACACCAGCCCACTTGGGATGACTGCCAACAACTTCTGGGGACTCTCTTCACAACAGAGGAACGAGAGAGAGTCCTCTTGGAAGCCAGAAAGAATATTCTTGGACCAGATGGGAGACCAAACCAACTTCCTAACATCATCGAAGCTGGCTTCCCCTTAAACCGACCCAACTGGGACCCTAACACCTTTGAAGGTAGGGAGCATCTGTCCACTTATCGCTGGGCTCTTATAGTGGATTTCCAAGCTGCCGCTAGGCGGCCAACTAATTTGGCCAAGGTAAGAGAGATTATTCAGGGACCCAATGAATCTCCCTCCATGTTTCTGGAGAGAATTATGGAAGCATATAGGAGATATACTCCCTTTGATCCTCAGGCAGAGGACAAAAAGGTATCTGTTGCAATGGCTTTTATTGGGCAGGCTGCCCTAGATATTAAGAAAAAATTACAGCGTTTAGATGGATTACAAGATATGACCTTAAGATATTTAGTTAAAGAAGCTGAGAAAGTATATTATAAGAGAGAAACTGAGGAAGAGAGGGAACAGAGGAGGGATAAGGAGAGGGAACAAAAGGAAGATGAAAGGAGCATAAGGCAAACTAAAGCATTGGCTAAGGTCCTGGTCACAGCCACAGATAGGCCAGAAGTTAAAAAGCAGGGAGACAGGAAGGGATACCTGGGCCCACCCCAAAGGCTGCCCTGGCCTCAGATCAATGTGCCTACTGTAAAGAAAAGGGACACTGGGCCAAAGAGTGCCCCAAAAAGAAGCAGCTACGCCAGTCTGCCATGCTGACTCTAGAAGATGACTAGGAAAGTTGGGGCTTGGATCCCCTCCCCGAGCTCAGGGTAACATTTGAAGTGGAGGGGACCCCAGTGAACTTTGAAGTAGATACAGGAGCAGTATATTCAGCCCTTAAGACCCCACTGGGCCCCCTATCTAGTAAAAGATACTTGGTTCAAGGGGCTAATGGCAGTAAATATCGGGCTTGGACAACAAAGAGGACTATGGACCTAGGAAGGGGAAAAGTCCACCACTCTTTCCTAGTAATCCCAGAATGCCCAGCCCCATTGATGGGAAGGGATCTACTCACCAAGCTCCGGGCTAAAATAACCTTTAACCCTGATGGTCCTCAAGTGGAGTTTCTAAACCCTTCAGTAAAGACCCCCATAGTCACGGCTTTGACTATGTCAATAGAAGATGAACATCAACTCTTCACGGCCCCTGGGACTGATCAAACAGGTAGACTACCTCAGAGATGAATAAAAGATTATCCTGATGCCTGGGCAGAAACTGCTGGGTTAGGTCTAGCCATAAAACAACCTCCAATAGTAGTAGAATTAAAAGCCTCTGCATCTCCAATCAGTGTTAAACAATATCCTCTAAGCAAGGAAGCTAGGGAGTAAAAGGCCCTAAAGAACTAGCTATAGTGCACTGTCAGGGGCACCAGAAGGGGAACAAGTCCATGGCAGTTGGAAACAGACGGGCAGATGAAGAAGCTAAGTTGGCAGTCCTAAACGGAGCGACCCTGTTAACTGTTTCCACGCTGGGGGAACAACAACCAGGAGACTTGGCTGCACAGGAACATTCAGGCAACTTATCGTCTGGGGACACAGACACAGAACTCTGGGATCTCGCAGAGCCTAGTTTACAATTTCAAAAAGCCCAACTTTACGTCAAAGATGTACACCAGCTCATCCATTTAGGCTCAAAGAAGTTACATGCACTCTTAAAAGACAAAAGAAAGGACTTATTGTTGACTGACTCGCAGAGGAAAGAAATAGCTGAACAGGTGACTAGAACTTGTCAAGTCTGCCAATTAGTTAATGAATACCCATCCAAGCTTCCTGTAGGGAAGCGTTTACGAGGGACCAGACCCGGACAATTCTGGGAAGTGGACTTTACTGAAATTAAGCCAGCAAGGTATGGACTTAAGTATCTCCTAGGCTTTGTAGATACTTTTTCAGGATGGGTCAAAGCCTTCCCCACGAAGAAAGAAACGGCTCAGATGGTGGTCAAAAAGATTCTAGAACACATCTTTCCAAGATTTGGACTGCCTAAGGTAATGGGGTTCGATAACCCCATTTGTGGCCCAGGTAAGTCAGGGATTGGCCAGGACCCTGGGGATTAATTGGAAGTTATATTGTGCCTATAGACCCCAGAGTTCAGGACAGGTAGAAAGGATGAATAGAACCATCAAAGAGACCTTAACGAAATTAAGCTTGGAGACTGGCAAAAAAGATTGGACTCTGCTCCTACCTTATGCACTGTTTCGTGCAAGAAATACCCCCTCCTTCTCTTTGTGTAACCTCACCCCCTATGAAATTCTCTATGGTGCTCCTCCTCCAATCAGGGACCTAACCCCAACCCTGAGACTTAACGATTCCTTTCACACCCCCTTGCTTAACAGACTTAAAGCCCTTGAACACACCCAGCGATACCTGTGGAAACAGTTGGCCACTGCCTATCAGCCCAGATACAGGGGAACCCCACACCGATATCAAGTGGGAGACTACGTCTACGTGAGATGGCATCAGGTGTCATCCCTGGAACCCCGCTGGAAAGGACCATACCAGGTGCTGCTTATAACACCTACATTGGTGAAAGTGGATGGGATTGCTCCCTGGATCCATGCCTCCCACCTCAAGCCTGCCCCCTGTCCAGACTCCGGCTGGAAACTGGAAAAGACTGGTAACCCTCTCAAGTTGCGTGTCCGTCGTGTGGGTAGAGCTATGGATTCTTCCCCTGACCACCAGCAGTCCTAATCCCCATCAGCCTGTTCAGCAACACTGGCAAATTATAAATCCCACTGGGCAAGTAGTATAGTCTATTTCACATACAGCTCCCTTATGGACTTGGTGGCCATCTCTCCACTGGCCATAGGCCTCTCTAACTGGGACCTCCCTGACATAGAGGACCCCACACAGATCCCATTCGACCCCAAACCAGGGCAACATTCCCCACGGGGTCACCATATGCATTATGGATGGTATCGCCCTTATCATAGGTGTAGACTAGCCAGTCTTGATTATTATGTGTGTCCAGCTGATTTCCGAAGCCGCAAACAGGCCCGAACCTGTGGAGGGCCCAATGACTTTTATTGCAAATCTTGGGGTTGTGAACAAACGGGAGCTGCATGGTGGAAACCAAAYTCCCCAGACAGCATGATTCAGGTAGGGCAAAATGACACTTGGATACACCCTAGGAACTGTTTAACTAGCTGAGTGTCAAGCACTCGCTGTGGAAAAAATAGTCTATGTAACCCCCTCAATATAACTTTCACTTCCAAAGCAAGGGGCTACCTCAGGACGACATGGCTTACGGGAAATACCTGGGGAATGCGATTCTACGTTTATGGCCCCACTTATGACTTTCGCCGCTGGTTCACCATCCGACTTAAGCAGGAAGAAAATCCCACAGCAATAGGGCCCAATCCCCTCAAGCCAGGAATTAAGCATCCCAAACCTCCCATGCCTAGAACTACCAGAACCCCTCTACCATCTCATTCCTCTCGGTTTCCTTCTTTGCCTACTTCCCCAGTCCGGAGTATAGCTGACTCCTCCCCCTGGGAATTGATTAAAGGAACCTTCACGGTACTGAACTCCACACAGCCAGATCTCACCCAATCCTGCTGGCTGTGCCTCTCTGCTGCGCCCCCCCTATTATGAAGGGATAGCAGTTAATGGGACTTATGCTGTGAAGACGCAGAGTTCTACCTGTAGTTGGGGCGAAATTCCAAAGTTAACTCTTCCAGAAGTAACCGGGGCAGGTTTATGTCTAGGGTCCCCACCCAAAAGTAAACAACACATATGTACCCAGATAGGAGAAATCAATGTCACACAGGGCTTTCTAGTCCCTGAGAAAGGAACCTGGTGGGCGTGTGACTCAGGATTAACTCCTTGCATTTCAGCCCAGGTATTTGACAGCTCTGTAAACTATTGTGTAATGGTGCAAATACTTCCCAGGGTGCTTTTTCATGATGCAGAATCATTTGAAGGTCTAGTAGGGGGACAAACAACCCGTTTCCGCCGGGAACCCATGTCCCTCACTCTAGCCATACTATTGGGGATAGGAGCTGCTGCAGGAGTAGGTACCGGAGCAGCTGCTATGATCCGGTGGTCACAACAAATGGCCCAGTTAGAAACAGCAATAGATCAGGACTTGAAGACATTAGAGACCTCTATCATAGCCTTGCAGGAGTCTTTAACCTCTCTCTCTGAGGTTGTTTTGCAGAACAGGCGGGGGTTAGATCTCTTCTTTATGAGGGAAGGAGGCCTCTGTGTGGCACTAAGGGAAGAATGTTGTTTTTATGCTGACCATACTGGAGTTGTAAAAGAGTCCATGAGTAAATTAAGAAAATGCCTTGAAGAGCGCCAGAGAGAAAGGGAAACTCAACAAGGGTAGTTTGAGTCTTGGTTTGCCCAGTCCCCCTGGTTAACTACACTCCTATCAGCCCTAGCTGGACCCTTGATCATTCTTATGCTGTTACTGACTGTGGGACCCTGTTTGCTTAAGCGTATAGTTTCTTTCCTCCAGGCTCAGATTGGACAGGTGAAACTCATGGTAATCAGACAGCAATATGCTCCACTGGCAGTAATGGAAAATGAGACCCCTCAATAATTATGATCTATGACTTTTAAGATTAAAAGTAGTCAGAAAAAGGAGTGGGGAATGAAAGGGTAAAGCTGCTTCTAAGCTGCAAAGCCTGAGTTAAAATGTAAGGGACTAGGTATTGTAAAGTTTCTGAACTGCACACAGAACCTGAAATTCCTGAGGCAGTTAAGACAATGCCCTACTGACCATTTAGTTCATTAATAGCCTAGGACCCTGTGCAGCTTGGCACGTAAGCATTCAGGGCCCGAACCAATCAGTTTAAATGTAACCCCCTCCTTAGGAGTGACCTATCACTCCAGCCCGCCCTGTTCCCGCCAATGAATGTACTAATCAAGTCTAAGAATTGTTGTTTGATTTTCCCGTGGTGTAAGGTGATTTGTTAAAGGAGACTGTAATGTGTGTGAAGTCCCTGCCCTCCCCAAAAAGTGTACTTAAGCACTGCTCAACCACTGCTCAGGGCTCTGGGCTGCTCTCCCTTCTTGAGTGAGCACGGAGCCCCAGCACGCTGGATCAATAAACCCCCCTTCTTCGGATTGCATGAGTCAGTCTCTTGGTGGTCTCTTCCTCCGATGTTCGCCGGACCCTTACATCCATGCATGATTCAATAGTGTATTATCTAGTTTCCAGGTGTTGGAGTAGCTTCTATTTTCTATTTTTTTAATTGATTTCTAATTTCATTCCATTATGGTCAGATAGAATGCCAGGGGAGTATCTGTTTTTTTTGTTTGTTTGTTTTTGTTGTTTGTTTGTTTTTTTGTATTTGCTAAGACTTGCTTTGTAGTATAACATATGTTCTATTTTGGAGAAGGATACATGTGTTACTGAAAAAAAAAGTTTATTCACTCATTGTTGGATGAATTAGTCTATATATGTCTGTTGAGTCTAAATTATTGATTATATTATTTAATTCTATAGTTTCTTTGTTTAGCTTTTGTTTGGATGATCTATCCAGTGGTGAGAGAGGTATATTAAAGTCACCCAATATTATTGTGTTGTGGTCTACTGTTTTCTTTTTTTGAGAGGGATTTGTTTGACATACATAGATGCCTCATTGTTTGGGACATTGATATTTGATATTTATGATTGTTATGTCAATGTGTGAATCCCTTAAGAAGTATGAAATGTCCATCTTTATCCCTTTTCACTAGCTTTGGTTTGAAGTATTGTATGGAAGGAACAGGACTACTTCTCACCTTCCTGTGGGAAACTGGCTACAAATTTTCAAGGAAAAAGGCTCAAATCTGTCAAGAAAGTCAAATACCTCAGTATTCACATATCCCACAGAAAATCTCTGAATGTCTCTTCTTGCTATGTGTATGGAGGAGGTAATTCGGGAGATCAATGCATATGGGAGTTTAAAGAGGTTGACCCCATAACCCCTATAGTTGAACAACATTTCCCCAATCAGTTACTAGTGTTTGGTTCCTTAAAACCTCATTTGTTGGAAAAAATTGTCTTGCCCGAGAGGGAAAACAGGCTAACATCTCAGTTGGGAATTTGACATATCTGGGGCCAAAAATTTTATGATGTAACTACCCAGAAAAATTAGTGGTTGGGATGCTCAAATCACACAGAACCAGTTTTTGTCTTCTGTCAAATTTCTTTACCCTCAAACAGGCCTGGGACAATGTCACCACAGAAATCAAGTAGAAAGCCCTAGAGGAATTATACTGAATATGTGGAAGGGCTGCTTATGCACAACAGCTTTGAATCTGCTCTAGATATTATGTTCTTGGGGAAATTTACCCCTCCATTTTCTCCTTCCCTTCACCAGAGAGGAACAATTGATAGTCTCAGCACATGAAGACCAAGGGGCCCAGAGAGTGGTGTGTCTCTGGACCTGTGAATGGAAAATTTACTATTATGGCCCTGAAACCTGGGCAGAGAACAAGTACTATAGGTAACAAACTCCCCATCTCTATATGCAATTACATCATTAGGTTACAGGTTGTTGTGGAAATTAGAATTACAAGGGCCCTCAATTTAGAGACAAAACAAAGTACTCAAATAAGCAAGGTTATTTTTCAAACCCACTTAGCCTTAGATTATATGCTTTCTTCTGAAGTTGGGGTATGTGAGGAATTTAACCTGAATGAAGTTTGCTTACAAGTAGATGACGAAGACAGGTCATTAAAGAAATTGCAGATCTTATGAGGAACATGGCACAGGTCCTAGTCCAGACCTGAAAAGGTTTAAACCCTAGGGAATTATAAGGAAGACAGTGTTCAAATATTGGGGGATTCAAAACTTTATAGGGTTGTGGTTTTATACTGAGGCCTTTGCATTCTTACCATGCCTGTTAGTCCTGGTCATAAGATTATGGAGGCTGTGGTTGAAAGGAAAACAGTAACACATGTCATATTATTATGGAAATGTAAGACTTTGATTCAGGATGATCCTTTTTGTCCCTGAGGGAATTCAAATCCAAAAGAGGGGAATGTAGTAAAGGGTTTCTCCTTACTACATTTAGTATCTATGGCATGGGTGACTCTGTCAGGCAATGTGGCAGCCTCTGTAAATATGTGTGCATTTGCGACTATGTTGCAAATCTGTTAAGTGCAACACTGTTATACTCAGTTGCAACATAATAATGTAGAATACCCAACCAGAATGTTTGTAATATATAGAGGAGCCAAAGGGTTATCATGTAAAAGAGTACTAAACAGAGGGTATTTAAGGCAACAAATGGGGACTTTCAGCTTTCAGCCTTTGGATAAGAATTTGCTGAAACAGTGCTGGCACTAATAAACTTGGCTTCCTGCTGAAAGCAGGATATTCTGTCTGTGAAAGAATCCTGCAACACGTTCATTAACTCCTCTAACTCCATTTGTGCAAGAAATAATTTGCCTGTTTTAGCTACAATATCTTCTTAGAAAGTTTTAATATTGTGAAACTGAATCCTCCAACATATTCTTCTGTATCAATAAACGATTTGGCTGTTTGGGAAGCTATGATTTTCCATATTAATACTGGAAAGGACTTTCCTGTCAAAAACTTATGGCATAAAATGCCTGTAGGATTTTGGTGAAAGTGACATTGACTCCTACACCACTTTGGATTGGCACCTAACAATATTAGGTCTCCTGCCATCCAGAAAATTCCATGAATTAGATGGTAGTTGTTTTCTTTTCTTTTCTTTTTATTTATATAT